TAAAAAAAATCCTGTCCCACTCGTGAAATAAATTCCATAATCATCTACAAAACATTGAATATCCTCTATTTATATCTCTGACTAAATACACGACATTATATATATATATATATATATATATATATATATATATATATATATATATATATATATATATATATATATATATATATATATATATATATATAGAATACCATAGAAAACAGCTACTATATCATTGTGCCCCCTCAATAATAACGTTTGATGAATTTTTTTTTTTTTTTTTTTTTTTTTTTTTTTTTGCTTGTCAAGGAATTTTGGGAACTGATAGTGCCCCCCAACTGAAAATATATGGTTGTGCCCACTCAAAGTGAAATTGCTTCCTACAGGCCTGTTAATTTCTTTATAAATACATGTTTTAGATCTTTCTTGGATTTGAGCCCCCCCCCCCCTCCACTTTTAAGTTTGTGACTACGCCTCTGATTAAGGGGGGGGGGGATTCTCCATTCCTTCAACTTTATTATAAGTGAGATTTTCAACTTTTCCTTTCAATATTGAGAATAAAATAAAAATATTTCATTTTTTTCGACAGAATTTCATGACTTATACCAGGGACCTATGAATTGAACATATTTTATTGACAAAGTACTAGTCAAAAAGTTAAGACGTACCCTATACACAAGTTCAAACAGTTCAAAAACTTAATAGTCTTCTCCTTCTACAACTTTTTATAAACTTGCCATAATACAGTACAATTATTTGATATACAATAAGTACATCAGTAGTGTCAGAAACTGAAAATTCTTGATATATAATAAACTGATTATGTGAACTGATAAACTGAGATTGACTCTAATAAACTGAACTGATCGACTCTTCGCCTTACATGTCACAGTTGCAGGAGTTTTTCAGATCAATATATTATAAACTTCTATTTAGCTGAACATTATCAAAATCGAGTATAAGTTTACAAACATTGGAGTTTGTTGTTAGTTGGTGTCATTGAATATTGTATGAATTAATGCTTTATCTAATTTAACAATTAAAGAGAACTGTGAGTAAAATGAGGAAAAAAAAGAAAAGGAGGGCATGTCAAGGTCAGAAAATTACGGTACGTTGAATTTCTCTCACTAGCCTGTATCAGTGTTAAAATATTTGAAGAAAATATCTTGAACAGAACGGTCTCTTTGAAACTAAGGTAACTAAGGTAATATATATTTTTCAAAATGCGTTAACTTGGTCCCAAATATACCGCACTTTGAAATTTTTTTTCAAAGTGCGTAATTTTTCAAAGTGCGTTGTAACAAGGCATATTGGGATCAAAGTCATGGAAAATGTCAAGGTCAGAAAATTATGACACAGTTGAATCGCCATTACTAATACACGTTTGTTTAAAGTATGATAATGATATTCTGAAAAGTGAAGCTAAGGTCAAAGAGGAAGTTCAATATCATGTGAAAGGTCGACGTCAGAAAATAAATAACACACGTCAGTTGAATTGCACTCACCAATATGTATTTTCGTATGAAGTTTGATAAAAATGACTTTAAAAGTGAATGATAGGATCCTAGGAAATTAGGCCAAGCTCAGAATTGTAATACGCCTGATTTAATCTCACCATTTTGTATCAATGTATAAAAATGTAACTGTATATTTTTGAAACTGTAAGGTAAACGCAAAATGAGGAATAGTGAAGTCAAGGTCACAGGAAACGTCAAAATTAGAAAACATTGACCAGCCGAGTTTTTGTCTCAAATATATATGTATCTTTGAATGAAGGTTTCATAAAAATATTTTTTTTAAACTGAGTTTAACGCAAAGAGGATAGACAGAAGAACGAAGGGACGGAAGACGGACATGACAGATACTGTATGCTCCATCAATGTACAATGTTTAAGCAGATAAACCTATAAATGGTTAGTGTTGATTATATATATATGAAGGATGTGTTTGGATGTTTTCCATTGTTTTCATGATAGTTTCTTGATGATTTTTATCGCTTTTAAAAATTATAACTAGTGAACATAGCGCACATGTAAAGTTGGCCATGCTACTCAGTACTCAGTCACAATTATTCCTTAAAATTCTCGCTGCACAAAAGAAATAAAACACTGGCCATTGCAAGTAACATTTTAATATTATAATACGGTCTTGGTATCTCACGATTTTTATTTGCTATTTGGGTCAAATATAGCCAACTTTCTGGATTTTGATATAATTTATTCATAAATGTAATTACATTATTTTTTTTTTTGTTAAGATGCTTCATGAATCTTACCGGTACTCAATCCGATGCATCGAAAATGCGTTGTTTTGTGGTCAAGAAATATCTTATAGGAAATCTGTACTAATTTTGCAAGCACCAATAAAATCAAATAAGTAGGGGGGGGGGGGGAATAAAATATACAACTTTGAGCAGGCGGTATTAATTATAACCAAGCCTGGGGGAGTTTTTTTTTCGATTTTGCCGTCGATCTGGATTAAACTATATTAGCTCCAGTAAAAATCTTTTACTCTTTTACTAATAAAAGTAATAATTTTATTATTTTAGTGGAGTAAAAATAAATAATTGTGAGTATATTTGTTATAAAAAGGGTCCATGGGCCACGTCGCTCACCTGAGCACTTTAGCTAGAGAAAAACAGAAATCGGTTCATTTGTGAAAAGTTTTAATACATGTATTTAAGGACATACGCAACGTACCTTACCTACTGATAATTTTTCAAGATTTTCTTAATTTAAGATTATAATGTCATCAGATGTTCGTAGACAAAAAGTCAGCATGCATTACCAGGGGTTTTGAAAAGATATCAACTGATGAAAATTCTTGTTTAATTCAAAGAAAAATACAAAAAAATTACTAAGCATATATTCTAGATGTTTTGTTTATCCAAACTTGTTTTAGAAGAAGTGTACAACAGCAAATATAGACATTAAAATGTAGCACACAATTCCTTTAAGTATTGGAACTCTTCAACTCCAGGGAAAAAGACAATAAAGTTCAAACTACGTTGCGTATGTCCTTAAGTGGTTCCAACCTACCCTCAGAGAGTTGTGATTAAAAAAAGATTCTATACTGACTGAAGATGTCTTAATATTGTGTTGAATAATCAAGACTTTAGAAGACCTTTTCCTTTGTATTTCTTTGTAAAAGTTTGATCTTCAATTGTGGCCCCGCCTTTCTCCCAGGGGTCATGATTTGTACACATCTGAATCAACACTACCTTAGTAAGTTTCCATATAAATATGACTAACTATGACTTTACTCTTCTTTGTGAAGAAGGATTTTTATATATTTTTCCTATATATCCTATTTAAACATTTGATTGCCCATTGTGGCTCTACCTTAACCCCAGGGGTCATATTTTGAACAAACTTGAATCTTCACTACCTGAAGACGTGGCCACTTAAATATGACTAATCATGACTTTGCTGCTCTTGAGAAGAAGATTGTTAAAGATTTTCCCTAAATATTCCTATGTTAAACTTTGACCGCCCATTGCGGCCCCACCCCCGGCCTAGCCCCATTGGTCATCATTTGAACAATCTTGAATCTACACTACCTGAGGATGTTTCCATACAAATATGACTAAAACAGAAGTTGGCCGAAAGTTTTTCTGTACATCAAGCAGCCTTTAACAGTGTATAGTTTTACTTTAAATAGGCAATGAGGAATTTGGTCAGTTTAATAGTTAATTTATCTCACTCTGTACCCAACGCTGGGTCGTTTCATTTCAGTTGAATGTCACATATATCGAATAGGCACAAATCATCAGTATACATATATTTTAAAAATTGATTTATTTCCGCAATTTGGGATACAGATGTGAGTTCCTCACTGACCTCGGTTTTTTTTTCGCTTTTATAGTTTGGGATTTTTTTTAACATTCAATGTGTCATCCAACCTTTAATTAAGGTATGTCACTCGTGAAATTTGTTATATCAAGGATTTTTTGAGAAGTATATTTTGGATAAGTACTCATATAGTATGACTTAAAATCGCAGAGAAAATCGGGGTCAGTGTGCATCTAACTAAGCTACAGTACAATTAAGTTGACCTTTTTGCACTTAAATTGTAACTCTTTGGTTAATCACTTTAACCGTTATCATATTTTATAAGATGTAACCATGGCAATAAACATAATCTTATTTTACGTAAAATAGTTTGAATAATATTTATCATTGAACAAATCATGCAAATTAATGCGCGTAAATTATTGTGTGACCTTTTTGCACTAATAATGTCTCATATTTGGGGTATTAAAAATCTATTTAAAGAGGCAATAGAATATTTTCTTGTATCAAACTTTTTACGACTTAAGTGCTGATCGGTCAAAAGTATCGAGTAGTTTAAAATAATGAAAGAAAAAGTTGGGGTCAGTGATGTAAATTTTGAAATATTGATCAAAATATGCGATTTTCAGGCAAAAAACTGTGTAAATTTTATCTCGACTTCCTTGATATATCTTCATTTCTTGGCGATGTTTGTTGAGCGAAGGTGTAAATTTTGTTATAAAAATATAAATTCAGACCTATATTTAATATTCCAGGCATATCATAACGGAAAATATTCTCTTAGTAAAAGTATGTGAGGCTAAAGTTCCAAGATATTAAATTTAATAAATGTGTAGATTTGCAGAATTTTCTGCTAAATATCCTTCCGCCACAAGAAATAGTCCCTTATAAATCTTGCTTCTTTGTGAATTTTTGAGCAGTTTTTTAATTGGATGTTGAACATTTTACATTGTTTAATTTAAATATGTTATAAAGATTGAATTGTAATAAATAGTTTTTAAGTAAGAGGTTCTGACTGAAATTTTCTAAAAGGCTGACGAGTGACATACCTTAAGCTATTTCAATCGATTCTTTTTGAGTCTGTCCAACAACAACAATAAAAAAAAAAGCAAAAACAAACAAACAAACAAAAACCAATCGCTTGTTAAAAAGGCTAGCTATTGTATATTGTACTTCCCGCGGTTTTGGATTAAACATTAACTTTTATAGAGGGCGCTTTTCTTGTCGCCATGTTTGTATCCAATGACAACATTCCAAATTTCAAAGGGTTGATCTGTTTGTGCTGGAAGAGAACGTGTGTCTCAAATAAGAGGTGAATAATGGGAGATTCACCAATTAACGTTCCTCGCTTGGAACTTGATTCTGTTATTGGTTTTAATGGTAAGTAGAAGTGAATACTTTTTTCTGTAAAAAATAAATTTACAGCTAAATACCCTGTAAGAAACATTCATAAAATGTTATGTTTTCCTCATAACAACGACCGGTCTTGTTGCCAAACTTCTGAATGTGATAATGCATTTTTACTTAAGCGCCCATGCATTTCCAGTTTGCATGATATACATATGCTCTTTTCCGCAAAAGTAACTGTAATTACATATAATTCACACTCTATATAATAAAGCGTATAATTTGTCGAAAATTGTCTTCATTTGATCCATCAAATATACCTTCTTTACATATTGCTTCAGGGGCAGTTGCAAGTGGACTGAAAGTTCATCCAGGACGAGAACATCTAATTTACCCTTTGGGATGCACCGTGGTGATTGAAAATATTTCCACACAGAAGCAAGATTTCCTATGGGGACACACAGACAATGTATCATGTGTCACCGTGTCTCCCAGTGGGAAATACCTGGCCTCAGGACAGGTCACACATATGGGATTCAAGGTATGAAGAAAATACACTTTAATGCTTTCTACTGAAATGGGGGGAATTAAATTGCTTTTCTTGAAAATTAATTGGTCATTTTGGCCCTCACATTACTGTATGCTAGTTATCTACTTCTAAATTAACACTATACCAAGAGAAATATATTTAATTTTTCATTGAATTTCTTATACCTCATATCTTATTAGGATGAGATGCAACTTCTGAATACATTTCCTAACACTAAAAATTAATGAAATCCAAATATCTACAATAAACAATCAAAATAAAACTGATAAGTATAGCATTTGTTAATCTAATGTTGTAAAATTTGAATGTAGGCTGATGTGATTATCTGGGACTTTGAGAGCAGACAGTTGTATGCCCGGCTTACACTCCATAAAGTTAAGGTGGAAGACATTTCATTCTCTCCAAATGAACTGTACCTTGTTTCCCTAGGAGGACAAGATGACAGCTGGTAAAAATCTTATTCATTTTGTCAAAATTTTTACATGCTTTGTATCTGCTTGACAAAGATTTTAATCCAGTCATCACTCAAAAACATTTTTTTTTTCAATTTCAGTGTGGTGGTATGGGATATTGCCAAAAAGGAGGCCATTTGTGGACACCAAGCACAAGTAGAGAGCGCTGGAATCACATACTGTGTAGCTTTCTCCAACAAATCTGATGATATTTTTGTTACTGGAGGAGAGTAAGTATTTAATAGGAAAAAAGCATTCAGAATTTGCAGATTATTATTACATATTACTTGGTTTTTTTATCTCTCTCTCTCTCTCTCTCTGCTTGTATCACTGCAGGCATAACATTTGCATATAAACTTAGCACCTCTCCCCTGAACTGAAAAAAGTCATTACTTATAGGGCATGTAAAAGTATTAAAGTTAGAATTTAGATTTCATGTGTGTTTTCATCTTTCAGTGGTACCCTGCGTGTCTGGGAACTGGACAGAGGCAACAGAAAAATCCGACCAACAGATGTCACAATGGGTCAGCTCAAGCGAGTGGTCAAATGTATACAGGTACTCTATGTACAACCTTTTTGTCATTGAAAATAAGATAAGAAAGGATAAACACTTTAATACATGTACCGTTAGTGGAAAGCTCTACTACACACGAGAGAAGGACTGTTAATTATTAATACACTTTTTCAGATGGCCGACAACTTCCAGGAACCCTTCTTTTTCTGTGGAACAACAACTGGAGACATTATTGGGGTTAATATGAATACTAAATTTTTCCAATTCCTGGGGCCAGAAAAAGAGAAGTTCAAGAGTGGGGTGACAACACTGTCCCTCATCAAGTCTGGTCAGTTGTTGGTTGGGTCTGGAGATGGAGAAGTGGCCCTAGTTCAATTCTTTAACAAAGTAGAGAAAGACAGCAAAAATAAGAAAGGAAAAATCTGTTTTGAAAAGAAAAGGTAAAAACTATGTGATTTTTCACATGACAAAAGCAAACAATTCTTAATTTCAAAAAATGTTGTTTTTTTAAAAAACAACTTTTGTATGCTAATGTGTTGGGAGTTTTCTCCAACATTTACAAGTAAATACATTCAAAGAAAAAAAGCTTAAGACAAACATTTAAATGTTCACAGGTCATGGAGGGACCACAAAACCAAGAAGCAGTTTGCTGTTACCTCCATAGGTCTCCGAGGAGATGGACATCAATTCTATGTCGGAACTGCCAATTCTCAAATCTACCGCTTCAATTTTGCTGAATTCAATTGTGATAAAGGCAAAGATAATGCCAACCAAGGGGCTGAGCTCATAAAAACCTGCCATTCACATGAAATAACAGATGTTGTCTTCCCTTAGTAAGTAATGCTTATTAGTTGAAATAAGTTTTAAGGGCGGATTTGATAGTTTCCCTAAATAAAATTGAAGTTTCAATTTGTCACTTCATTGAGAAGTTTTTGATTATGTTTTTTTATAACAGTGGGACAGGGGAGCTAATTGTTACCTCTCAGTATGAAGAAATCAGAATTTGGCAGCTGAAGCTGAAGAAAGAGATACGCAGACAAGTTGTGAAGAACATGACCTGCAATGCTGTTGACATTACTAGGGATGGAAAAACCATCATTTCAGGTAAATAAGCGAACTCTACAGTGATGATTCATTAAAATACTAGTATCACTAGCAGTGATAAATGTTTCAGCAATGATTTAGAGTGGGGTTTTGATTGTTCTCTATATAGCTTGGGATGATGGAAAAATCAGAGGGTATGGATTTTCATCTAAAGACAAAAGCACTTCCCTTGTTGAGAAATTTTTGATTGAGGAGGCTCACAGTAAAGGGGTGACAGCCCTGGCTTGTACATCTGATGGCCTTGGAATTGTTAGTGGAGGCGGAGAGGGCCAGGTCAGAATCTGGAAAATCTCCAAAAGTTGGGATCCAAAAGGAAAAGACATTGTCTCACTGGTAGAAACCATGATGGAGCATAAGGGACGTGTGTCTGACATCAAAATTACGAGGAATGATAAGGAATGTGCATCTGCCAGCACTGATGGGACATGCATTATTTGGGATTTAGAGTATGTACATGTATCTGTTTCTGATACTAAATTTGTCCATTTTTGTTGCTTTTCCAATATCTACACTCATAATATTTACATTTATGTTACACAGGCGTAGAAAGAGGAGCCAGATTGTGTTTTCCAACACCCTATTCCAGGCCGTTTGTTATGGGGCTAAGGAATGTCAGATTATCACTGGAGGTACAGACAGGAAAATAGGATACTGGGAATGCTGTGATGGCAAGGGAATTCGAGAGCTTGAGGGATCCAAGAGTGGCTCTATCAATGCCATGGATGTTTCACCAGATCAGAACTATTTCGTCACTGGAGGTGATGACAAACTTCTAAAGGTAAGATATACCACACACTTTTTGCAAAATTCTTTGTATTAAGTGAAGGTAAATTGTCAGTCAATAGAAGATAATATCTTTTTTATGGCCCAGGAGCCTGATCAATATTATGAGAATATCATATTCTCATAATATTGATCAGGCTCCGGGGCCATAAAACTTTTGATCTCGTTCTCACTTTCACCATATAGTGGTAAAGTGAGACTGCATGAGATTGAAAGTGAGCTCGACTAAGTTTTATGGCCCCGGGGCTAGATTTTATATTGGTGTATTTTGTAAAGACAGCATTGTATTTGTAAGTACATTTGCAGGTTTGGACTTATGAGGATGGAGAGGTGATATTTGTTGGAATCGGTCACAGTGCCCCCATTAAGAAGGCCAAGATCTGTCCTAACCAGAGGTACATCGTCAGTGTTAGTGCTGATGGTGCTATCCTTGTATGGAAATTCCCTCAGGAACCCCACATCAAATGATCACCCCACCATGACAATTTTAGACTGACATTTACTATCATCTGAGGTGGAATAGCGAGACTGAAGCGTAACATGATTATTAGGTGATGACTGAGTTTTACAAATTTGACAAAATATCTTTAATATGCCTTAGTGAAATAAACCAAAGGCAGAAAATACATTATTGTGTACAAAAATTCAAATGTGCTAAGTATTTATTTGAATATTGTTCTCATTTTGTTTTTTAAATATATGTTTATGTAGCAGTATGTACCACATACATGTATGAGACCGACTTAACATTTCATAACTTGTACAATTTTCACTGTGGAGAAAAAAAACACTTTTTGCTTACAATTGTATTTCTGGATGACAATGGCTTGATTTTTAAGATGTATTAATTTCTTTGTAAGCAAATTATATAACTTGTTCTTTTCATATGAAATAAAAAGCTTACACTCTACATTAATTTCAGAAATTTTTTAAGTCTGATGGATACAAAATTACTTTAAAAATGTGTATTAAGTTTGAGATCTTTTTTAAGATTTTTTAGACAAAATAAAGTGATACTTAAAGGCAAAAATATTTACATCCTACAGTTGTGTCCCTTGTACAACTCCTTATGAATACACAGTTGTAGAGTAATGTCACTGAAAAGAAAAGCTTGATTAAAGCTCCCCCATGGGGGGGTGAGGGGGGGTGTCAAGAATGTACATAGAGGTATTAGGCAAGTAAACATAATGGTCTCTTCTTTTTTTTTTGGTGCATGTACTGCTATTTCATAACATCCCTCCTGTTTTTCCATATACAAGCTGTGGGCATACAGTAAGCATAAAATTAAATATGCTTTTTGAATGATAAAAGATCTGTTATTTGTGAAAATTTTATCGTAAAGATATGCATAAAGTACCTGCCATATTTCTATGGGAAAAATGTTCTCAGACAATGAATTATTAGTGTACGGAAGTCACTATTGTTTGCTTACATCTGGGAGAAAACATGCAAATAATGTATTCAATTATTTATTTTGGTCTAGAATACTTTAATTTATTTCAAATTATGTCATTTAAACTAGTTTTCCATTTACTCAATACATCAAAAGGCAGATCACTCTAACTGCATAAAACTGCCATTGATTTAGAACTCTTCAGTGAGCAGTGTTTAGAGCTTCCTTGAAGAAAACAAAGACTTTTAGTAACTTGTAAATAAGAAATATGTATAGTGTATCTGAACCCATTTACAACGAGTAAACCAACACACGTAATTATGTCTGAAATATATATACATTATTATAACAGTAACTAGATCCGAAGAGTTGTATCATGTCGAGTTGACAGGCGCGGATCATCAGATCAAACGAGACGCTCCGTTTGATCTGATGATCCGCGCCTGTCAACGAGACGTGATACAGCTCTTCGGATCAAGTTACTGTTATAATGATAAATTTATTATATACCCCCCTTACAACTAGCAAAATATATGTTTAAAAAAACTTTTGAGATCAATTATATAAGATTTTTCCATCAAACAAAGCATATTCTCAAGGAACTTTTTGATGCGCATGAAAAATAACGTCATGTTTCTGTGTACTACGTCATCAATTTCAGAGAGGGGTGATATGGATTCAGAAAACCACAGTGTGGTGATCCGGAAAGTCGGATCACACAGTCACGTGATTGTACGAAATCTACAGTAAAATTGAGTGATACACACTTGGGTATATAATAAAAATGAAGATCTAATTTTACATTCACAGTATTCATTTATTCAGTCAACAACATATTTTTATCACAGTGTACAATATCCTTTGTACTGCTCACATTAAAATGTTTACATGTTTGGTAATACCTACAATGATCTGCCATCAAGGAAAGTATTGCACAATGACCATTTCATTATGGCTGACAATATTGTAGCCATGAAGTCTGTAAAATCACAAAACTGTTCTTCAGCCCCAAGCCTGGGTTTTGCAGTAATGTAAAACAAGTTTTCCATCACTTCCAAAACACTACAAAGAAAAACCTTTGTAAATAATGGTTTCATTTAGAAATGCATTTCGCTGATATAAGTTACAATGTAAAATGTAATAATGCATACAGTAAAAAATGCAAATAGTACAGTTCGTGTTTTAACATTTTGTGTCAAGATCAATTGATGCAATAAAGTAAAATGTTGTGTACTGATAGAATCACTCATTTCCTAACTTCCTTGCCATTTGGGTGAGGGAGCAAGAATGCCAAAACAACAAGTCAACAACAGAAGGGGATAATGCAGTGGGTCAGTGCTCGGGGGTGGGAAGGCAAAAGTGAGATTGTAAGAATGCAAAAGAACAAGAACAAGGGACTGAAATTAACAACAAACTTGTAATGTTGCTCCCCTACTCTAGCAATGTTGCCCTCAGTTTCTTTTTCCCTAAATTTGTTGCCCTCATACGCTCACTCCCACCCATTCTCATCCTTTTGCTGCATTATCTCCCTTGTGTTCTTGTTCTGTTAATCTTGAGGGAGTGATCAGTTCATACCCTACAGCATTATAGCAGGTTTACAGCAGAAAACATTCTCAGAATTCGCAGTATGTTCTATGAGATTTACATAATATCATCTGAAAATTTTATCAAATTTAATACAATATCACTCTTAATTAATGCAGTATAGTTAGAGCAACTGCCTTTATAAATCTTCCTAAAATTCAACATACATATAAAAAATCCTTAGTGCAGATACATCCATTATGTGACAATACTTGACATCGCGATTACTTAATTTGATGGAACTCTTTCACAGTCGAGGTAGGTATATTAATTAGATGGGGACATTGTGTAGATTTTTCAAGGGCTCATCAAAAAGAATCTTCCTGAACATTTGCTGAACCATGGTAACAGATTTTAAGAAGAGTAAGTCTTTTAGTGATACATTTTTTTATGACATGTATACATACTAGCTTAGAATTCAATCACTTCCTTCTGATAACTGTTACTTTTGAAAGATGATAAAATACTCCGAACATTCTGAATTAGATGACCTACTATCTGAAGTGCAACCTTGGCAGTACATTGTACTTTTGGGACTATAGTCACTCAAATCATTTGACTGTCACTAGCATAAAGAATGTTGTATCCTGGAAATCTCACGAGATTTAGAGCTTCCTCGACTTTGCCACAAAAGAGCCACAGCAGGGTAGATAACCACTAGGTAATTGTGATACTAAATTAAGGAGGCGAGAATCATGTTTGAAACGTACGTACTCTGAAAGCTGCTATGGCAAAAGTGCTAATTAGAATTCAAACATGAATCCTGAAGAAATCAAAATATTATATGTCCAATGAAATATACAGTACATTTACTTACATCAAATACGGTGCCAATTTCAGTGTCAGGAGTCGGAGCAAAGGATTGATTCACATACAGGAACTGACAATTAAAATACATCAGAGTGAAATAAATATCTCTATGTTTAAAAACAAAACAAGTTTTTTTTCCCAACAAATTTCATTATTTTTCTGTATGTTCTTTTTATCTTATCTTTAGTTCTATCTATCACATTAAAGATGGAAAAGCTGAGAATTGAATTGAGATAACTAAAGCATTTAACACACCACAGAGTCCTGGGACGTTAACTTGAGGTACTTTTTGATGAATTCTCCAACCCAACCAATACGTTTATTTCTATCAACAGCCCACTTCTTTTTCTTCATAATAGGGGCATCTCCAGCTGGCTTCAGGAGAACATCAACTTCAAAACAATGATACAGGACAATTTATATCATAATAGTGTACATTGTATATTCCATGCAGAAAAATTAGTCAGCATTTGACACATTGACATGTAGTCCGTAACCTGAACAAATTGAAGGAAGCTATGCTTTAAGTGGGGCTGTAAATAGAAGGTTTTTACAATGCTTGGATCTGAAACCGTCTGGTTTGCCTGTCTGAAATTTCTCAGCCAGTCCTACAATTCTGTAGATAATATTGGCCTAAATAGAACTTCTCTAGTTAAAATGATATTGTTCTATGGACCTGGTTTAACCATAAAATTTGTTCCTTGTTTGCAATATAGCAAAATAAACAGGGGCTGATAATTCAGATCTATTCTTAGCCAAATACTATGAACAGTCCAGAGAATTCTGAATGTCAACATGGCATGTAAATCTGAAGCAAGAAAAAAAACCTTGAGAAAAATGAGTTGAATTTTTGTCTTTAATACTGGTAAATAGATTATTTTTTAATCCATAGCTCAAACAGGTTTGTTATAATTGATTTGGTATTGTAGTTATTTTTAGTGCTACTTCTGTTTTTTCTAAAATCGTTCTGGAGCAGATCAGCTCTGATTTGCTACATTGCAATTCAAGTATAAAAACAGTATAAAATGATGTGATAGCTATATGTAAAATGTGATAATGAGAATCTCCCATAGATTGGATGTGTTATTATCCTTGGCAACTTGTGTGTTTTCTACCCCCTCGCCAGGGTTCGGTGATATAAGAACACACAACTCATTGGATAAATATCATATTCAACCACAAACCCACTTACGTTGTTAGAAATACCCGTGCGCCCATCTGCCTGATATGCATAATTTCTGCCTCATGCGAACAAATTTGCTTGTATCGATGCCAAGCTAGACGTGTTAAACTTGCCACAAATTAACAACTGATTGTACTGAAAAAATTCTTTTGAGCACCTCTTGCCAGCCAGAGGACAGGCAAATTAATGACTATGGTTTTACAAATGTAACAAAAATAGTCTTAAAGGGAAATTATTTTCTCAGGCTAGTAAATCCTTGCTGGGCTGACAACTTTCATAAGCATTAAGCTATTATATTTTATGATTTCTGGTGAGTTTCATATACTGCACAAACCATGTGAAATCTTTTGAAACAAATTGGGCATTTTGTGTAAAATAAGCTGTTCTATCGTTTATCAAAATGATACTTTTCTCAAACCTATTCCATCATTCTCAAAAAAAAAAAAAAAATTAGACAAGGAATGGCTATGCCTGTCCACTTCTTCCACTTCTCTAACACCCCCCCCCCCCCCCAAATACAATGACATTGATAGCGAGCGCAGCGAGCGGCGCGAAGCGCCGCTCGTCACTGCGAGCTCTAACGACAACGCCTGGGCGAAGAGAAAATTCGGACTACTGCACATTCATTCAATAGAATTTTTTTCCGCAGTAATTCTGACCCACAATGCATCGCTTCTTGTTCTCGCTGCTAACTTCATTCACGCGGTAACAACAACTAAAATTTCACAAAAAATAAACTCACCTTAATTTAATGGATATTGCATGCAGATAGTAGATTAAACGTTCTTTGTTATAATATGTGCAGTTTTTTAAACTTTGTTTATGGAAATGCAGTAGCACTAGTTCTCTGCCCTTGATTCCAGTCGCTGCCGCTAGGAATTACAAGGACAGGTAACCACCGCCGCCATGACAGTGGAAAATCTCACTGCTTTGTCGCGCATAGTAATTGCGCATTCTAAAAATAAATAGCATCCATGCTTGTTGAGAAGAATGTTAGGTGGATCCAGTGATCTAAACAACAGAGTTAACAAAACATAGCATATCTAAACTGAAGAATAAAACAATGGAAAACGTGGGAAATATTCAAATAACATGACAGTGACTGTATTGACTGAGTATACTTAGTTTATAAATGTCACAATTAATGAAATCATGTTCCAGTAGTGTTAACATGTGGAGTTGGAGAGGCAAGTTAAACACTTTCATTCCCTGTAACATCATCCTCGCAAGCCAGGGGTCCTGAGTCAACACGTTGCCGTCCAACGGCAACGTGTTGACTCAGGACCCCTGGCTTGCGAGGATGCTGTAACATTAAAAACATAAATTATAAAGGTAAAGAACATGTTGTGTCGTAGTTGAATCTGGTTGAATCAATGATTTACCATACCAATATGTGAATGGCAAATAATTGCAAGTAAATAATCATAGATTTGAGTTATTTTAATAAGGCCTATGATATCGCTTGCCAATAATTCGTGGGCCTAACGGTTTATTTTCTTTGTTAGCAGTGTGAAGTGCAGAAAGGTTTCTTTACAACAGCACTATGGATTTACGCTAGTTTAAATATAGATTTTTATCATCATTGCTGTTTCCTGTGACGCGATAAAATGGCAGTGGTTACCTGTCGTTGGTTTTTCAGGGCGCTTGCGCCCGTTAACCAATGTCAGGGTACCAGTCTAGAAATGCAGCTAACATACGTCATGTGACGTCACAGTCTAGACGTTCCAAATGTCTCGTGAGGTTTGAAGAGGCGGATCTTAAAATGAAGTGAACAATGCGCTCGCCCCAACGGTCGCACCGTCAACATATTAGTGTCAATGAAATCGTTGAAATCGACTTTTTAAAAATGTAACAAGTTTACTTTTCGCAGCAGCATGACTAGGACTTGTTGGTAAGATCTTTTCATCGGCCTCTGTGGGTTTGCTATCTTTACTTTCATTTCCGTCGTCAGACATATTTGTTTACTTCCTGTCGAAGAAAAATAAAAGTAGAAACCGGAAAGATAAAAATATATAAACCCGAAAAATTATTGCTCTGTAAAAGAAAAAAATCGTTGGGCACAGAATTTAAAAAAAATAATAAATCTTTACATTAATATACCGGTACTTACAATTGTTTTGTCAATTTTTACCCATAGTTACATCCTTGCTGTACTAATGAACTGCAGCTGCTGTCCATACCAATTTTTTTTCAGATCAAGGCTTATAGCTCTGCACCTAGGATACCCCTAGATTGGAATCTGTTTAAGTATGATATTCAATTTATTGACTTCAGTGTCCAACAATAAAATAGTTACCTGTCCTGATCTCCATTTTTTCAGATTTTGTTTTTAGTTATGATTAACAGGCACGAATCCAGGAATTGAAGGCGTGCAAAAAGTAGGCAGGGGGTCTGGCCATCTGGGGTTGCCTTGAGGCCCCCAGTGGGTCCAGGATTCTGGATTCTAGAGATTTTGTAGGGTAAAAATGAGGTCTACCAAGTAGACATTTTTACATTTCCTCAACGAAACTATGATTAATGCTAACTTTGACAATTAAATCCGCCACTGATTAAAACTTTTGTTTATTGGTTAACATTTGATGTGTATCCCTTCAAGAATTTTTCACACAAGTTGGGACACCACCAACTGTAAAGAAAGGCTGCAATTTTAGACTTGTACTCAACACTTGTGGCTATTGCTCAGTGAGAGATTTCTGTGCCTGAATCTACAGTCACAAGAGACCATGGTTTATACGGTCTTATCCAAAAGATCAGTGGTCTCCATGCCCCACAGTTGGATTCAAACCTGTGACATATGGATCATTACTCTTCAATCATTTGACAAAATAATGTGCATGCTATGTCTTCATAATCCACTTTCAGAGTAGATCTTCATCTTGGGGTATAATCTATCTGAGAATTTTAACAATCAACACATACCGAACAACAATACGAAGATTATACCATCATCTTAGAATTATATAAATCACCTATTACACATCATAACACAGTGTCTTGTAACACATACATATTTTAAAAAGAAAATACAATAAAAGAGTGTGTGCAATCAAATTTGCCCACTATTGTTTATTTAGAAAGAAGTGTATATCAATTTTGCCCACGACTGTTCATTTAGAAAGAAGTGTATATCAATTTTGCCCACGATTGTTCATTTAGAAAGAAGTGTATATCAATTTTGCCCACAATTGTTCATTTAGAAAGAAGTGTATAAACATATGGAATCAATTAACCACTAGTATACAGAAACTCATCACTTAAAATGACAAATACAGGTATACAAAGTAGTACTCATAATAACTAAACACTTAATCTGATACAATTTTGTCTATCATGTTGCAAGATGCAGCATCTAGTAACATATTTTTCTAGAGGACCTTTTTTTCTCTCAAAATAATATAAAGTGGCTTCAATATTATATATTACAGAACCATATATATATTATGGAACCATTAAAATTTGAAACATCCTCCACAGAATTGAGGGGAAAAAAAACACATTATGCTACCATAACTAATACAATGTCAATTTGGAGTAAATAAAAAAGGTAATTTAAAGTATGTTATATTGATACAAATTATGTATATTGTCAGATGTGTTTATCACAGAGTTCACTGATGATCTAAGGTTTTTATTCTGACCAACATCAAGATGCCATCATGGCTTCCGCTTGCTGTCGATCTCTCTGGGACTTTTCTGAAAAATAATATTTCATTGGCATATTGACATATAGTAACTAGTATGATAGAATATATTAAATGAATGTTTTAATACACATAAATATGTATACACTGAACAAAACTTCTAAGAATTTACATGCATGAAAATGAAAATGATTGAAATTTTCACAAGTTAAGGTGTACAAGAGTACCGGTATTCTTATCAAAAAAATTCAAGCAACAGCAAAGAATTAAGTTTATTGTGACTCTGCCTCAAAACACATTTTTGCAAACACAGGCCTTTTGATCAATGGATTTTACATTTTTTCAATTGAACTGTATTTGTAAACAGCTGATCTGACAAAAAACACTTCATTTTATTTTCAAAATACACTTTAGTTTGTTTTTATAAGAATGTTGAATTCGAATTGTCAACATGAGCTACTTCATGCAGATATCTTTGATAGTCCATAGGTTTGATGATGGATAATTAATAAAATAAAATTTCCACTATGTTACAGACATATACATAAAGAAAGATGACAGTTTTGTGGGCTTTCCTTTCATTAGGAAAGTTATTTTATCTAAAAAATTTAACGAATTTCCTTTAAATTCAAAATTTTCACATATGCCTAACAAAACATCTAGTCAAAGTTTTCCATGTCCACACCCCCCCCCCCCTTTTCAAGAATGATCCTCCTTTGTAGCTATTAAATGTTCTTATTTTTCTGTCTCAAGGTTTCTTGGAAAAAATCATATGGCTTGATAGTATGACAAAATTATCCAGAAATTGCTTTAGAAAGTATTTGGTAACTGAATTTTCATATTAGCAAACCCATAAAAAATTCAAATTCAACACATATTTTTGTTTTGCAATGAAATAGCCGTTTTGTCAAATACCAGCTAGCCCCCCCCCCCTTTCCCCCAAAAATGCTACGAATTTTGATTTCTTCAATAAGTCTTCACCAATCTGGTGCACTTGAAAACTTTGTGAAATGTGACACTCGTAGTTTACCTTTGCGTTTTCGCTCCTCTATTTCAGGAAGTTCATCAGTAGGTACTTCAGGTAAATCCACCTGCGTAAAAATTTGTCACTTAGCTGATGACAGTTTTCTCAAACATTTTACTTAAGATCATGATATAAACAGTACAGACAAAGTAGGCCAAATACAAGTAGTCTTTTCTTACCTTGACAATCTCATCTAGCTCTGCAAGAACATCCTCTTCATCTTGTGTTGTTAGGCCACCTGATAATAAGTCATCTATCTCCTAAATTCAAGAAAAAAAAAAAACAGTTTTAAAACAATTCTCTGTTCAGATTTTTCCATGAAGACCGAATTTTTATTTAAAATTCTCAAAAATCAGATAAATGTTCGTTAGAACCCCCAACTCACTCGCTGATAATCAATAGATTCTCTTGTATCATCCATAATTTTCTCCACATCTTCAAGTGACAAAATCTGGAATTGTGGAATAATGAATAAACAGTACTTCAAAACATTTTATCTTGTAGTTATGCATTAACTTTGGAACTCTCTTGAAAAATCTGAGGTTGTTATCCGAATTTGGCAATAGTTAAAGCAGGGTAATTACTTACCTCATGCAACTTTTTCAAAGAATCATTACCAACTTTCAGACCCTGGACAACCTGGCTTTCGATTTGAGCAAATTCTATATCATGAACCTAAAACAAAGGAATAAGTATGTCAGTTCTTTATCTTTCAGAAAAAAAAAAAGAAAAAAAAACTAAATAAATGAAGAGACTCTGGTTTAAGTATTTAAATTTAATGCAAAGATAATTGCTAATTAAATCTTGATGTACCATTCGTTCTATGTTCTCTAGCTGTCCATCTGTCTTTTCAATCAATGACTCCTGGAACTTCTTTTTCCTTAGCATAAGTTTGGCCTTGCTGTCAAAATAACAGAGTCAAATAGTGTCAAATTATATCAGCTAGATGCAAAAACACTACTCAAAGACCTAAAATCATTCTGGGTTTTCCTGATATTATCTTGTCTTAAAAAGTGTAAATTGTAAACACTGTAATGATTTTAATGTATGTTTCTAAAATTATATCATGGAAATAGGATTGAGTTTCTTGAGAAATATTGTGCGAAGTGACTGATCAGTAATTAATTATATGAGTGTATTGGTATTAAAAAAATTATTGCATATAAAACAACAAAATACATTTATACTCAGCTTCATTATTACTCACACCTTTTTTATTGACTGTACAATATAATGTAAGTATTTACTCTTTTTTGCCATCTTTAAGCAATGATTTGGCAACTTCTCTGTCTTTCTCAATCTGAACCACAATTTTCTTCTGATACTGTTTTAGTTTGTCTCGTTGCTGTTTGAGTTGCTAAAATAAATCATAGACTTTTGAAAGAGCAAAATAAACAATTGAAGGCTGATATCATAATACTGTTTTCACTGGCTGTTGGAACCTGCATGTATAGGTGATGGTGTTCCTTTTTTTGGAGGGGGGGGGACTTTTGTTTCTTTTTTTTGGGGGGGGGGGGGGGGGGGCTTTTGCCCACCTGATATTTCAATTGTTTTGTCAACATAATGTTAAAAAAAAGCATAATAGTTAAGTTTGATTAGTTTCTGTTGAATATATGAGGAAACCATACAACACTTTGAAAATCAAACACTCAGCACCATCCACCCACTACCATTAAAAATGGATCTAGGTTTTCTGCAATTTTGGTTAATGTGATTAAATTTATGATTAAGTTTTATTTTATTTCTTTGTGCTTTTCTTTCATTTATTTATTCATTCATTTTTCATAATAGTTTGTTATTTATTTATATTCATTCACTTGTATTTATATCTGTTTATTTATGCTTCTTTCATTATTATTAATTTTTTTAATTTATTAGTTTCTGTGTTTGTTTGTGTGCTGTTGTTCTCTTTTCTTCTTGTCAAAGGTTTTTGGTTCGTTGTCAGTGTATGCCCCCCCCCCTTTTTTTTAAAAGCTTCCCACGGGCAAGGGCCCCACCCATCAAACGCTTGCAATGTAGTTGTACATCCAGTTGTTTGAAAGATTTTTGGATTTAATCAAAAAGATAAAAAATTAGATACAAATTATTAGGCTAAATTACTAATCCTACCAAGTGTCATAGTGTGTTTTATTATTTAGGCCTATTTAGAAATAGATTATTGCTACTGTAAACAGAGTAAATTCGAAATTTCAGATATTACTTTAATTGTAACTTACCAGAATGGCTTTATCTTGTTCTGTAACCTTTGATTCTGTTGGTTTTGACTTCTTTTCTTTAGAAAATAATCCTCCCATCTCTAAAATCAAATGACAATATTTTTATTTCAGAACCATCACTTTATCGTAAAGTGTCTGTATCCCGATCCCGATTTAAAAAAACAACAACGAGGAAAATGTGGGCAGTTGAAAAGTAACTGTTGCAAGTCATCAAATTTAAGGACATCGGTAATAAACTAAAGTAATTCTGATTTTCTAACAGAGTTGATACGCATTAATCTGATAAATTTGTATTATCTTAAGGTATAATTTTCATTGGGGTTTAAATTTTTTTTTTTTAAAGATACGTACTGTACATGTATACCCTTCCCCATTTTCTTACAATTTCGTTTATATACCCCAAATAAAATTGCATAGGACCCTGTCATGAAAGGTCTCAGTATTGACTAGTCTCAACACCAGGTAAAAATATATACATTGTATAAAGTCATATATGACAAGAATTTAGTGCTGACTTTAACCAGTGTTCAATTTTAACCAGTAACACGGGTTACATATCCTTTTCACTGGGGAGCATTTTTTCATTTATTCCATTTTTAATTGGTTGCACTGGTTACAATGGTTACAAAGTGATAAGTTCTTATCTTTATTTGTAACCAGTAATACAGGTTACATAAGCTTCTGATGAACAGCATTTTTCATTTATTCAGTCATTAATTTGTTAAACTATTTATAATGGTTACATTGGTTACATCTGTATCTACAAGTTCCCACTTGGGTTTAAGATTTTTTATTCCATTGTAACTGATTGTCACCAGAGGAATATAGTTGAAACCAGTGTAACCTAAAAACAGGGACCTATATACTAACTAGTATATAGGTCCCTGCTAAAAATAAAGACCGGGCCCTTTTGGTTTCAGATAAAAATCCCCTGATCAACAAAAAAAAAAATTAATACAGCTGGTGCTGATGATAGAATTTCATAAAACAAAGATTTTTGCAGGTTATCAGAGAGATGCTGGAGTGTCAGGTTTTGATTCTAGTGATTTTTAGTGCAGCTGTCAATGTTTGTTCTCCCTCTTCTCCAAATATGTACAGAACACTGAAGAAGAATGGATTTCACAGGTATCTGTGGGCTTCACTTTGTGTGGTGTTGTGACGTCTTATAAAATGTGATATTTTGCATGACAAATATGACAACTTTTACAGGGATTTATTCACCAAACTTCTGATTCCTTCCTCTCTGATAGAACCAGGATGTGAATGTCTGATAGAAGAAGAGTTTCCACCAGGGATGTATGTAGATCCGTATGAATTAAAGAATCTCAGGGAAAAGGGAGGACCCCAGGTAATGTTGACTGTAAACAAGGGGAGTTAACTCTACTTACAAAATGTTAAACAAGGGGAATGATAAATGTAAGTTTTTACAAAAGTACACCATATTAGTTTCACAAAATCTGTCTTTAAAAGGACTTCATGTTCACATGTAACATCAATATTGAGAATACAAAGTTCAGATTGCTTCAAGCGTGTCTTAGAAAAAAGATATAATACTGGTAACTTGTTATAAAGCCCACTGTGTAGGATCTGAGATCATTTATTTCATGTAAATCATTTTGATACACATCTTCAGTAATTTTCTGTCTTAATTTTTGTCAATATTACAATGGTGTACATCCCAATTTTAGTGTATATAAATTCCTACCGGTAATTAAAAATTCAAACGATTTGACTTTACCCAATTTTTTTTTAGTTCATCAGTGCAGCAGTTGACATTGAGAAACCAAAAGAATTATCTACTAGTTTTTCTTTCATAATTTACCCAAAACAACTTTTAAAGGAAGGATCAGAATTTGTGACAAATGTTACAATTCCAGTTCATGTGCGATATCATCAGCCTTTGTCGGAGGAGAGTACAGCACATGTAGTAATACAGAACCCACACATTTATCTTCTCTGTCACCAAAATGGTAACCAGAAAAGTTCTCCTAGGATTTAAAAGTATTCTTAAATATTTGAATATACTTGGAAATTAGGGGTGGACTGAAAACTTTCAAGAAATATGTTATCGGTACTCTGATTAATATTACAAATAGTAAATATTCCTTACTGGGGGATATGTCATAACATTCATGCCCTATTTTTCTTTTCTAAACATGTGCTGACTACAAGAAACGAAATTTTCTCTTTTTGCCAATGAATTATAAGCTGTGAAAAGAATTATTAAGTCCACACACTCCCTTCCCCACCCCTTTCCTCTAAACTGACTAAAAGAAATGATTCCAAGGGAACAGAAGCTTAAAGGATTTCATTATTGTAGATTTGAAGACCATTAAAAAGACAGAGAAACAATTTCCTTGTAGCGGTTCACATGAAAACTGTACCTGGACAGAGATATCTTACAAAACAGTGAGTAGTACATTAATAACATGCAGATCTAGCATAGAATTTGCAGAGTTATGAAATGTACGTAGTAAATTATCTTAGAAATGAATCTTGGAACCCCCCCCCCCCCCCCCTTTAGAAAATGTGGATTCCCGTTACCGGTAAGTTGGTAGGAAGAACCATACATAAGAAGTTTTTAAAAAAGGAAAGGAAAGCCCCCCCCCCCCCCCCCCCACACACTTTTTGATTCTAAAATCAAGAATTGCTGGTAATCTAAAATAGATGTGCTTCTTTAAACTGGAAAATGTTTTATATTTTGACTTTATCCTCATTGATTTAAAAACTTGGCCATTAAGGTGAGTGTAAAGATTAATTGAGAAGGAAAAACCAAAAGTATTTCTACTACTCTTATAGAAAGAAAGGGGTTAACATTCCTTACTGTAAAATAATTGTTTTGGCAATCCTTGTTAATATGGCATAATAGATGTTGTATTTTCTAAAAATATTCTAATCTGACTGGATTGGTGAAAAAGAAATAATTTTTTTGCAGGATGCCAGCAGTATATATTTTGATATCCCTGTTGGGAGCCTCTATCAGCAAACTCCAGTTGTTAGTGTGACTCTGGCAGTGACATTAATTGGATGTTTATTCTTATCTTCAAAGATTCTACAGAAGTGAATAAAATACATTAAATACTGCATATAGACATGTTGCCTTCTCTTTCATATTTGTAGACAATAAGTGGTTCAAGATTTTAAATAGAATTTGTTCAATAGAATTTGCAGGGTCTATGAAGTCTCCATATCAATGTGTCCAATATAAACATGTACTGCTTTCACTTTAGAGATGTTTCATTTTTCCTTCAAAGCTGCATTCAGTGCTATTATTCTATACTGTGATGAAAATTGAATTCAATCTGTAATTAATAACCAATAACACATCAGTATTCAACAAGGTTGAATGAATTATAAGCATACGTAATTTAACTGTCAGGAACAGGGCAGGAAAAAACCACAAGAGATGCACTAACAAGGATGGAACTGTGATGCCAAGGGAAGCAACACTGTTTAATTATGGTTTCTTTGATGCCCAGGTAGCACATTGCTAGAGCACTTGCAGTAATGAGACCCATGTTAAATTCTAGATGTGGGTAGAGCTTGCTGTAATGTCACCCAGGTTCAATTCTAGATCTGAGTAGAATCTTGCCATCATGTGACCCAAGTTCACTTCTTGGTTTGAGTAGAGACTTACTGTAATTTGACCCAGATTCAATTCTTGGTTTGATTAGAATTTTGCCATTATGGGACCCTATATTTGAGTAGAGTCTTGCTGTTATGTGACCTGCATTCAATCTTAGTGTCTCCCTTTAATATAACCAGGACTCAATCCTTAGTTCAAGTAGAGTAAAATTGCTATAATGTGACTCCACGTAGATCATAGATTTGAGAAGGCTTTTCACTTAATGTGACCCTAGTTCTATCACAGGATTGAGTAGAGTCTTACAGTAATGCTTCAAAGTTCTATCCTATGTTTAAGAGTAGTCTTCCAGTAATGTGACCCAAGTTCTATCCTAGGTCTGAATAGTCTTGCTTTAATGTGACACAGGTTCAATCCTAGAATTGAAGTCTTGCCTTAACGTGACACAGGTTCAGTTCTTGGTTGGAGTCTACTAAACACTTACTGTAAAGTAATCCAGGTTCAATCCAAGTTTGAGTCAACTAAATCCTTACTGTAAAGTAACACAGGTTCAATCCTAAGTTTGAGTCAACTAAATCCTTACTGTAAAGTAACCCAGGTTCAATCCTAAGTTTGAGTCAACTAAATCCTTACTGTAAAGTAACACAGGTTCAATCCTAAGTTTGAGTCAACTAAATCCTCACTGTAAAGTAATCCAGGTTCAATCCTAAGTTTGAGTCAACTAAATCCTTACTGTAAAGTAACACAGGTTCAATCCTAAGTTTGAGTCAACTTAATCCTTACTGTAAAGTAACCCAGGTTAAATCCTAAGTTTGAGTCAACTAAATCCTTACTGTAAAGTAACACAGGTTCAATCCTAAGTTTGAGTCAACTTAATCCTTACTGTAAAGTAACCCAGGTTAAATCCTAAGTTTGAGTCAACTAAATCCTTACTGTAAAGTAACACAGGTTCAATCCTACGTTTGAGTCAACTAAATCCTTACTGTAAAGTAACCCAGGTTAAATCCTAAGTTTGAGTCAACTAAATCCTTACTGTAAAGTAACCCAGGCTAAATCCCAAGTTTGAGTCAACTAAATTCTTACTGTAAAGTAACCCAGGTTAAATCCCAAGTTTGAGTCAACTAAATTCTTACTGTAAAGTAAACCAGATTCAATCCTAAGTTGAGTCAATTAAATTCTTACTGTAAAGTAACCTTGGGTCAACCCTTGGTTTGAGTCTACTAAATTCTTACTGTAAAGTGGTGACAATATAAGGATGGAGGAATGTAGTGGTTTGGGCTACATGGTTCATGGATGTTGGTCTGGATAGTGTATTGTTTAGAGTGGTTGACTTAGTAATGTGGGGTACCAGTTAATTCCAGGTTTTAATTTTTCCTTTTCTGCTAGTCTGGTCTGTACCTAGGATTTGAGAATATAGATTTGTTTGTTTGGACCATGTGTGTCTGCATGGGTGGCTAGAGCACCTGACTAATGATTCACGAGGTCCTGAGTTCGATTCCCTTTCCACCCAAAAAATTTCTCCATTCCTGTTACATATTCATTTGACTAAGTATGGTCTGCTGATCTCATAAATTTAAAATATTTTCCCTTATTACCAATATTTTTGTGCAAAACATACTGTGGATTTCCCTTTTATGGTTCCATCTTAAGTCTACAAGAAGGAAACACCATAGTCCTAGAGAATTTTTGACCCATGTGATTACAGTACATGTACTATAAAACATTATATATAAATATTTAGATATGTGTTATGCAGAGAAAACAAATCCATCGACTTTCTCTTGACTTTATGCCACATACATGGTGATGTCAATAAACTCATAAATTGAAATAAATAGAAAATTTCAGCAAAGCAATTGTACTATAATTTATTCTAGAGAAAATGTATAGAATGATACACATAAAAAATTATTTGTTCTACTCAGTAATCGTAAAACTATATTTTGAAGGTTTTAACATTATGACAATAAATTAATTAACATGCTGCTTCTGAGAGAGTACAGTACCCCAAAGTCCTTATGTACATGAAGAACATGAAAAATGCTAACAAAATGGATTGCATGATGTGAATGGTTTTAAATTCTCTCTTTAAGAGATTTTAGTCTCTGGACAAAGAATGTCTCCAGAACTTCGGCACACTGATAAAATGGAGTATCAGCAGGATTATAAAGCCGACAATTGTCAAACACTTTTGTCACGTCCTTCACAAAGTCACACAAGCGGAGATACTTTCTCTCCATAACATTCTTTTCCAGAGTCTGTAGATCTGTAAAGAAAGATAACCCAAGTCAGTCACACACTTCAACATCAAATGCTCAGATATGTTGGTAGAAAAAAAAGTACGCTCATATTTACCCATGGGATCTTTAATTACTGCATAATAATCTGGAACTTCAATACGGTCAACTGGCTCTAAAAACGGCCAGGCCATTTTGTGTGACTGCAATGTATAATGATTATTTCATAATGGAATGCATTGAACAAGTACATCTCTGACTCTTAACAGCTGGGAAAACAAATAGAGGCAACAACATATTGTAATTCAAGAAAAATAAGAGTATTTTACAAACCCAAGTGAAAATATTCCAGGCTTTTGCATTCAATGTACTTTGTAGAAGGTAAAAGTTTACAAACCTGCATGGATTTCACAAGCCTGCGGACATTTTCATAGTCCTTTTCTTGCAGAATTTTCTGGCTGATTGGATCGACCTCCTCCTTCTTCTCGCAGTTCGGACAGATGTAGATGTCCATGTGATTAGCCTCCACCTGGGATACGCCAACACACCGACCATGGAACCAGTCCTGGCAGCGATCACAGCCAATGTAAAACCTGTCATCATAAATCAAACATTTACCAAACAGAGCCAATCAGTCATCAAAATAAACCAAGCATTACAGGAAAATAAGACAGTTGTTTATTCTGCTGATTGTTGTAGACAAATAATTCTATGTGTAAACCAGAATCAAAATTCGTAGAGACTTTACATGTACATGTACTATAAACTAGAAGTTAGCCATAAATCTTAATCTTTGTTCATGGCCAAGTGCCTGCTGCTAGGCATTCAAAGCTGCCAACCCTTACAATTTTTGTGTATGGCTTATGGATCGAGCATCTAAAAAATGCCTTATGATTTCTCAAAGTACTCTTCCGATTTCTGTTTTTCTCATTCAAAAGTTTGAAATACCAGATATGGGAATTCTTGTAGCTGTCCAACTTCAGTTTTAGATATTATAATAAAAAAGTCATAGTCCTTACAGTGCTTGCTAGTACAGTGTATTATCATTGTCCTCTTCCAAGCAGATTTGTGATCTGAATAATTTTTAAATTAACTAAGTGGAAAAATCCATTCGCAAAAAATCTCTAGCAGCCCCTGGACCCCTTTCTCATAATTTTTCATTTGATGATGTTGTCAGCTCTGAGCATTAATCCCCTGTTAACTTACTGAGTATCATCATATGGTGTCCGACACAGACAATACAGCTCCTCTGTAGCAGTATCTCTCTGTTTCTTACACTCGTCACACACGTAAGTGTCTATTTTCTTTGCCATATCTTCTGATATATTTACACAGCTGCCATGGAACCAATTGGAACATAAATCACATCCAATGTAAAACCTACAACACAGAACAAATCAGGTCTGAACAAGCAAAGAACTACGCACGCTAACTCTCGATTCCCGCCTACATTTTACACCCATTTAATTCAATACTAATGGCAATTTGGCTATAAAATCTTTGTTGAATGCAAAGAACAATTCAATGGTAACTGACTGATAATTTTAATACAAGTGTTAAATAGTTTATTACCCCCAGTTCCAGCTCTTTAAATAAGGAGGGTAGACGATATTTTCCATTGAAATTGGGCTTTAAAGCATCACCACATTTTAAAATATTCTTGGATATGAATAAATGTTCCTTAAATCTTTTCTTATGTTTTACGCATATAAAATTAAACATATGTGATTGATAAAATAGACGTTTAAGCTGTAAACTCCTTCGAAATTGGTGAAAAAATGCGCATTTTTGTCGTTTTTTGTCTGTAAACATGTTCCCCCCTCCCCCCGTGAAACACAAAAAGCTTTGGTATGAATTTGTAAAATACTGATCCATATTAACTTTTTGTTTCATGGGGGGTGGGGAGAGAGATGTTTTATAAATATTTTCCATTGATTTCTATAGTGAAAAACACGAGTTTTACCAAAATTATAGAGTTATCTCTCTTTGTTTTCCCAAATAAGTAATGTTTTATGAAAATCCATATAAATATCTACATAAATATGAAAAATCATTCAAATGTGTTAACTTTTGAAAATTGACTTGGAGGTAGGCAGGAGAACAATACTATCGTTCGCAGTTCTTCAAAGAATTGTGGTCTCCCACTTTCAAACTCTTACGACACAGGTAACTGTCTCGTCTGTATGACCTGTCTTGTCTGTCTGTCATACAAAAAAGATGTAAATTTTTGAATTAATTAAAGTTATAGCAAAGATTAAAATTTTTTAAAACTGC